GTGTAAAATCAATTTGTCGTATCGGCTTGTTACTGTAGTTTTTTGTGTTTTTACTGCTTTATTTAAGCAACAATGAGGCACATAAAATTTGTACGATGACTTCCTATATTATTTATGATTCCTGAGTTGCTGGACCCAATATTTTGCAATATTAATAGCACTTTCTTTAAATAAAAGTCCTTTAACGAAAATAACATTTGCGCAAAAATTAAAAAATTATAGAAATTTTTTTTTTAAAATTCGAATTTACTAATTGCAACAATAAATTTAACCATGAATAAAATATTTATTTATGTAATAAATTAGATAAACAATATGTTACTAAAAAATCATGGCTCAGTTACATGTAAAAAATTTACTCAATTGTCTAAATCTTTGACCGTGTTCCTACCCCGGTATTAGGTTTTTCAACCTCTTTACATATTATAATAGGCAACTTGCGCAATTTTTAGTAAATATTCTTTATGCTCGATTAGTATTGAAAAAGACATAAACTATATTATACAGATTTGTAGCTAGAAATGTTATATGCAACTTTAATTAAGCACATTTTTTCATGTCTTGTATCAAAAATTACAACTTTACTTATACACAACCTTTTCGATTATCGTAATAATTAGCACTGAATTTTAAATCTTCAAAAACAGCAAAAACAGATAATATTTTTAATAAAAATAAAAATTTTTTTTATTAAAAGTCATTATTATATCTGACTAGTTAATATATAAATTTAATATCTCGTAGAATAATAGCCTTTTGATTTGTTAATAGTATTAACATGATAAGGCATACTTTACATACAATAAACTGATGGACCATTCATTCTGAAAAGCTCGGTCTTTTTTTTTTGGTGCATTATCACGCTTTAACAAAATTAAAATTAAATTTTTTAAAACCCTGTTAATATATTATTAAAAATTATTATTTTTACATTGAATTTCATTAAACTTTTAAAAAAGATTTTTGTAAAAATTCAATTAATAATATTTATTTCATAAAAAATAAAATTATAAATTATAAATAAAATAATAATTAAATATAATAATTCTAAAAAAGAGAATTTCAACTTTTGCTAATACTTAAAGATGAAATTAAATACAAAAAGAAAATAAAACAAATTTTGCTTTTATAAATTATATACTTTTTGTTTAATAATAAAAATTAAAAAAAAATTTAAAAAAAAATTTAAAAGATATATAGATTAGTTTTAAAAAATTAGGTCAACAATTTTAATAGGTAAAAAAAAAATAGTCTAAATAACAGTATTATATAATTAACACTGTTATAAATATATATATATTTTTTTTCTTTTGATAAAAAATATTCAAAGTAAAACGTTTATGGTGGAGTAACGGATGATCGAACAATACCGTGGTTTGGGTTTTGTTTTGTTTTGAATTTCAACGAAAAATCGTATTTCCTTTTTACTAATAAAATAAATAAAGCTTATTATTGACGTGACAACGCATATATGAATTGTAAACCATAATTAGGAATACGGCTAACCTAGTTTGCTAATATGATTATTTGCACATTAGCCAAATAAATAATAGATTTTCACCAAATTATTGATTAATCCGCAAATTTGATTTCAAATGAAAAAAATATCTAGATGATTTAAATGGTGAACCATCAATCCATGTTCAAAGGATGCATTACTGCAAGAATAAAAAATATTTGAGGGGATGATAATTTGTACCCAATTGCATCAATTTTTGAATGAGGATATCAAACGCCCAATTTCTAAACAAAACTTCGTTACTTTTTAAAAAAAAAAAAATGATTGAGAGAGAGACGATGAAAAGGCAAATTAAAATAAATGGAGATTTGAATAAGAATGTAAAGCATCACGTTAATCATACTGTGCATTGTTTAAAAAAAAAAACATTTTTTACGCCCATGGATCGACATGTTAAAAAATAAGATATTCGGCATACTCACATTCGGGAAAAAATGAACTTTAATTGTAACCGGGTACTTAACAGTCAACATCATGTTAAAGTTATTTTTTTTTCCAAAGTAGCACACGAATTCATTTTTAATTCATGTTGTTTGGTTCATCTTTGCATGCAATGACGACCTTATGATATATTTGAACCCATTTTGCATATATTTGTGCGCATTTAGGAACTAATTTTTTATTTAGGGGCGTTATTTTATTAGTTTGGTAAGAAGGATTTGTCTTCTGATTTGTCTTCAGGGGATATTATATCTTTTTTTTGTTTCAATGTTAACTTTGTATCTTGATAACCAAAAAGCTAATAAGATTCAGACTGAACAGGATCTTATTTAAAGAGTGTCTAGTTTCAAAAAAGGATTTTTTTTTTCAATTTAATAAGATATTGAAAGATTTCTCATTTAGACGTGTCTATAAAGCCATCATATATAATTGCAAAAAATACATATAGATTAAGGGCGTTTGGGTCCGTGTTGTTGACAGAATTAGAATTTTTTTTTTTTTTAGCAACTAGGCCAAAAGTGTAAAATCTTTTTTTTACACAATAAGCTCTCATACCTTTTGTTTGAACTTGAAAAAAAAAAATTTTTGAATTCTCGGCAATATCATGACGCCAAGAATTCAGGCTTCCTGTTACTCTCATGATACTATGACTCCCGGGAGACACGTGACGAAATTCATTGATCTTAGCGAAACAGAAATTTCTTTAATCTGTAATGATGATCATCAACTGGCAGCGCAGATCGTCATCAGATTAAGGAATCGTGGTGCACAAAAAATCCGTTTATGTTATCCTACTAACCAAGATCTTGTAAGTTCAAAATAAATTTATTTTGTTTATACTTTACATTATCCATTTAACTTTGTTTTATCCTCCCTAACTTAGTTCGCAAATGCCAACATTGACGCGATCAAACTGCCATGTTCCCAGGAAACGCAAATCCATTTCGAATCCTGCATATCAAGTAAGTATAAATGAGGGATATTTTATACTCGGAGATGATTTCACTTTTGTCATTGTAATTCATTGTAATAAAAAATTATTAGACGCAGACATCGTAATTAGTTTACTATATAATAATTACGAAAAGCAAAAGATGCTTCTTAACGCTTGCACCCAGCAAAAGGTTGCTTTGCTTATCACATGGGATTCTGGAATGGAACTGTAAATAAATTTACTCAAATTACCTTTAATTTATAATCTTATCATTGTGCTTTAAAAAAAAATGATTATTTACAGAGATCACTATGTAAGGGATAAACAATGTCCACGAACCAGATTGCATAAAAAATTATTGAATCATCGAGCGACAAATAAAAATAAACCCGAAGCAACTCGTTGGATCTTATTTCAGGTTGGCATTTTCGATGAAGAAATACTTAAAAACGACATATCAACAGTCACTACCGCTTTCAATAGTCCGAATCAATTTATTTTCTTAAACATTACCGTCAAAGAAGATTTAGCTCAATTGATAGTTGAATCTATCATGTCGAGAGAAATTGAACTTGACAGAAATTATGTGGTCGGAGATTTTGTTGCGCACACATTTTTGGGTCATGTATATCAAGTTGCAACCAATGGTGATCAATCATTTCTAACATTTATTATTATTATTATTTTTTTTTTGAATTTATTATATCCTTTGGATATAATTATATATAAAGTAAATATATATTAAGTTGGCTTTTATTTTACATGCTAAAAAAATAGGTGTTCGATTAAATTTGAGTATGCCCGCTGAACTCTCGGAATTTGAGATTACAAACGCATTACGTTTATCCGGAATCGTTTCGGCGCGTCCACTTCCACGAATCCTTTATCCGGGGTGCAGCTTATTTTTTTATAAACTTGGTATTGAAGTTTCCTTTCAACATGATGCAGCGATCTATAAAATTTTAAAACATCACCGTCGTACGACTTTTAAGGAATGGATTCACAATAAATTCAATGATTTTGCATATTGAATTTTTTTTCTTTAAGCAAGCTTTTTTTAATGGATAATTATTTCTATGATTTATTAAGACTTTTTGTTAATGGATAAAGATTTCTAATGATTTTTTCTTAAAAAAAAAAAAAAAAAGGGAGCAAAGAAATTGACGGAAAATTATAAGATTTTATGGTGGCACTATAAGAAAATTTAAGTTTTAAATAAAATAAAAAAAAAAATTATGACTTCACATAAAAGAATTACATGATTTACATTTTAACATATTGTATCAATGAATAAAATTCGGTTCCAAGATGATGAAACAAACAAATCGTCAGCCGATAAAGAATCATGACCGATATTTTTTGATTGAGATGAACGGTAAATGATATTTACTAATTGGATGTTTTATATTTGTCACAAAAAAAAACTCACTAATCCTCATTGGTCTATATATGCAGGAAACCTTTTTTTTATTTTATTCTAATTAACATATTTAGAATAAAATAAGGTGATTTTTTTTGTGAGATTAAAAAATAAATTTTTTTATCAATCATAAAAATTTTTTTATTTACGCCTCAACTTTGATTTGGAAAATTGGATAATTTCCTGTTGCCAAACTTGAAAGATAATTTTATAAACTATCCGTTTGACCTAAAGTGTAACTTACCCATTTAATTTTCATATCTATTGCGCCCAACTTGCATTCATACATGCAATTAATAATCATTATTTCATTCATATTTACTTACTTGTATAGATTTGTAATAACGCGTCATTTTATACGCGAATTAGGAAATATGATAATTAGTATTTCCTTTTGGAAATCAATTTGATATTCGGCTTCTAAACCATTTGTAATATTATTATTGAATTAAAATAATAAGTTCTTTGAGGACTTCTTTTTTTTTTTAAAAAAAAAAGAGAAACGTTGTAAAAAAAAAAACTGGAAAATTAAGCAATTTCATGAGAGAATTGATTAATATTTAATTTTATTTTCGATAAATACATTATGATACATTAATTTTTTTTTTTACATAATAAATAAATAATGAATTTTGTACAATGGTTAAAAATAATTATAGTATTTAATATATTTTTTTTTTCATAATTTATTCTTCGAATAATTCCTCATTTATCGCATTTAAATCTACAATTAGAAAGTTAAAAACTTAGTTTATTTTTTTTTAAAAAAAAAAAAGCGAAGGCAATAAATAATAAGCACCTTTTGATCCTGAAGAAAGACTTAATCGTCGCATACCTAAATTTTGATGAATTGTAAATAAAAGGTTAATAAAATGTAAATAAAAATGATGTAATTTTGGAAGAAATACACTCACTTTCTGCGACTTCTTCACTATTAAATACTCTACTAAATCGTTTTTCGTTAAAGGTAGCCGAGACACTTTGAATTTGAATACTTCGCCTATTATTTTTTTGTTTATTAGGACGACGATTATGAGTTGTTACACTATTTGCACGACGTCGGGCAGCCAGCATCCCAAAGTCTGATGCAGAAGCGAGATGCAATACACGAACTGCAAAGTACAAAAAAAAAATGGCTTAAATAAATTTCATAAAGTTAATGTAAACTCTTCAAAAAAAAAAAAAAAAATCTTTTTACCTGGACGATTAAGTAGGGGATTTTGCTGAATTGAAACGTGAACGGCATTTTTCGGTTGAGGAAGGTGGGTAAATTCAAGTAATCGACTTGTATAAATAGCTTCAGGATGTATCCTCGTTGAGGAAAATTCCGACAAAACATTTTCAATCATACTTAAACGAATCAATTCAGCCTCACCAATCTGTGTTCTGTGATTTGATATTTCTTTAAATTGTTTAAACACGATGAGTAATTCTTCTGTAGTTGGACGTAATAAAGGATCCGCATTCCAACATCTTTGCATTATTTGAGCATAACATTCAGGAGTTCCAGGCATAAGTTTTGGTCTTAAACCTGAACAAATTTCACTCGCCAGGTCATGATCATGAGGACGATCATGAAATGGTTTATTGCCCGTGGTAACCTCCCACATGATAATTCCTAAACTATAAATATCAGCAGCTTTCGTATATTGTTCACCACGTAAAACCTCGGGAGACAAATAAGGTAAAACCCCAAATACTTTAGATTTGTTATAATGTTCATCTACAGGATGACATAATCCAAGATCTGTTATATATGTATCTAAATTATTACTATCATTACCGTAACCATGACGCAGTATGTTACCACTATGAAAATCGTGATGAACCAGGCCTGCGCTATGAATTGATTGAAGGCCAATTATAATGTCACGAAGCATGTTTACTTTTTTCCACCAATCAAATCTTGCAAATGAAGTTGAAAGGTAATTTCGCAAGTTACCTTCACTTGCATATTGCATTATTAATATATAGTTATTTGTTTGAGGTTCTTGGCTTATTCCGTAACATGGAAGAACTCTTCCCGAATCCATACATCGGTAATGTAATCTTAGCTAAACCCATCGTAGGAAAACAAAAAAAAAAAAATATTCGAGGTTCGTAAACAAAAAAGCAAACGTATAAAAGAAAAAAAAATTTTTTAAATTTTAAAATATTTGTTAATTTACCTCGTTCAAAAAATCCGTCGTATGATTACCACCAGTAGAGTTACGTAAAACTTTTAATGCGACTCTTTTCTTATTCCAAATTAGATCGAATTTTTGTTCAGGAGCATCATGCCAAATGGCTTCATAAACCACACCAAATCCACCTCTACCAATTTCTTTAATGTTACTAAATTCATTATATGGAATCCATTTCAAAGATGACTTGTTATCGGTTATCGCCACAATTGATTTGGTTTCATCAAGAAACCTATCAATCTCATACCCACCATTTTGTTTAAGATTTGAACCATAAGGAAGTGTGGAAGAAAATCTTTTCATTTTTTAAAAAAAAAAATTTTACAAAAACTTTTTTCTTTAGAAAAATAAAAAAATAAAAAAACGAAAATAAAATTAAATAAATAAAGAAAATAAAAATTAAATAAGGAAAAAAAAAAAATATTATAATTAAATTAAATAAAATTGATCCGAATTATATATATATTTATATAAAAATTTATTTTTTTTTTATTGTATTAGTTTAAGTTTAATCCATCAAAATTATAAATTTATACGTAATATCATTTGAATCATTTGATTGCTAAGCTAGGATAATAAATAAACAATTAATATCCACAATATTGTTCTTTTTAAATCTTTTTTAAGACAGTTTTTCACTTAGCCATTTCAATCGAATCACCTAATTTTGGTTTCCGAAATAAGCAATCCTTTAAAATAAACTTTTTTTCTAAAAATCCAAGGTTTGGAATTACTGCGCCGTATATTTGACCCTGCTAATCCTTTTATTTAGTTGAAGGGAAAGGTGATAAATTAAACTAGTCACAACAGAAAGGAGAAATTTCCCCTGTTTCAGATTCAAACTGACCCGTCACAAGACATAACAGTAAACAATTTAATATTATATTAGGTTACTGTACATTAGATAATTCCGGAAAAAAGAGCATTATCAATAATCTTATTGAACAAGATTTTTTTTTTTTTTTAAAAAGTAACAAATACTAAATATTGAATTTCATCAGGTGTTAATGACCCCGGGCGTACCACGTAAGGTTGGGAGATTTTTACATATTGTTGTGTTTCATAACTATTGTTTGAAAATCTTGTTTCACGTGATTCCAAACATTGTTCAATATTTCGTCCAATGTAAATTATCCCTACCATAAACTTAATCCATTGTCATAAAAAATTCTTTATTGCCAAAAAAAAAGAGAGTATATACAATACAAGTGATGTGGTTCTTGCTCTATTGTAAGAAATAAAAAATACATAATATTAAAAAACGTTTTTACTGAATTTAGTTGCTGGTTTAATGCTGCTGCGGCAGATCTATACATATTAGATTCAGCATTTATCATGATAAGGTTTCATATTGGACAAAAAATTTATTTATTTTCTTGAATTGCTACAACTTTTATATAACATATATTACATTTCTAAAATCTTATTTTACTATGTTCTTTCTAACTTGAGTAAGAAAAGCCACATGTGTTCTAATAAAATTTCTACCCCGAATAATTGAATGTTTTTTTTGAAGATCAGTCAACCGCAGCTATGCTTCGCTCCGTTATCATATGATCAAAAGTCTTCCTATAAAAGGGTAAACAAAGATCATTTTGATCATAAATTCCCTTTCTTTCGATTTGAACGATAAAAACATATATATATATATTATTCCCATTTCTTTTTATATTAAATTTTAAATTTATTTTTTTTTTAACAAAATAATAAATAAAAAATGACAAGTCTCCGTAAACCCGCAAAAATTACTAAAACAATAATTTTTTATAACGGGCTATTTCATTATGTCGAGGATAATGCTAATGGAGAAGCTGATGATATGCAGTTTGTATTATTTAAAGTTTATAATCTGACCGTACGTTTCATATTTTCCTAAAATTTTAAGGAATTTTGTTTATTTATACATTAACTAACAATATTCATTTTTTTTAGAGGTCTTTTGAAGAGTTGCGTAAGGAAATTATTGCGTCTGTTGGGGGTGGTGAATCTACAACTGTAACTTATATAGACGATTTTAAAGATGAATCGGATGAAGCTTATGTTTCATTGAACGAAAATGTCAAGGTATAAATTTAATTAATTCTTTTTTTTATTTTTTTTATAAAAAAAAAATTTATGAAATTAGTCAATTATTTTATTTTAACAGATTAAAATTTGTTTTAAATCACAAAAACACCGAGATGTAATTGAACATCTACGTTCTTCACAATCAATAAAGGATTTAACACAATATGGATTCGCAGATTGGGTACCACTTGATATTAAATCATATATTAATATCGAACGCAATTCACAATGTGAAAGACGTGGAAATATTCTTACTACGACAAAATTAAGATCTTTTGAAGATGATATTGATCCGAGGTTATTAGAAATGATTATTGATGAAATCTGTGAAAATAAAATTGATTTAGCCTTGGAAAAATTATTTCCCGGTCCAAGCATAAAAATTTATCACGAAATTAATGATCATATTATGATAGCTGTTTTGTTTGAAATTCAATATCATTTTGATGAGGAAATTGGAAGATTATTTGTTGAGGTTTTAAATTCTTTAATTGAAGATCGTAAAATTGAGTCTAGATCTAACGTAAGTTATAAAATAAGTCTGTAATTTATTAATTTTATCTAATTTTGTTTTTTTTTTTATTTATTTATTTTGTTTTGTTTGCGTCGACACCAGGAAGCCTCATCGGTGTTTTCTACTTTCGTTTATCATTTATTTACTGTTATAAGAAATTTGATATATCTTAATGAATTATATGGAGAAATTAAATTTCCTAGTTGGACTCCATTTATTAATCATCCAAAACTCAAGGAAATTAGAGATAAAACGCTTATTAGATATACTTCTGAAGAAGAAGATCTTAGAACTATGGAAAAAGTCATAAATGTTGAAGGTGAACTGCCATTTTATTTTATTTTATTTTTGAAGGAAAAAAAAGTATTCAGTTCAAATCTCTTTAAAAAAAATATATATTTTGTTAGAGTCTTTAAGGAAACTTAACACGATAGTTAAACATTTACAAGATGAGGTTGAAATTGCACAATACAGAATACATTATAATATCAGAAAATGGAAGAATCCTAAGCGAACCTCAAGTGGCTTGTTTTATGGTTCCATGTAATAGCATACATTTTTTGAAGATGATTAGATTTGCTCGATTTTTATTTTATTAAACTTTTTCTTTAATTTCTTTAGAGCCGCGATGCTAACAATTCCAACCATGTACCTCTCCAATAAAAGTGCGGCTCGTGCAGTTTCCTCTAATCGTCTCAAGGTAATCTTTATTTATTTATATAATTATTTATTTTTTTTAAAAAAAAACTTACAAAAAATTATTACGGTTAATAAAAAATTTAGATTTCATTCGGATGTTTATTAACTATTGTATTAGGTATATGGTCAAAAAATTCACATAATAATTTTCATAAAGCAATCAATGTTTCAAAACAACTTGATCCTTTATTAGCTTCAACGAAACATAATATTGATCTATTGGATAGATGGTTAGATGGAATTGCTGCAGATGATAATTCTAAAATTAAAGTAAATGATTATGAGTTTAAAGGAAGAAAAGTAATTCTAAAACAACTATTTCATCAATTCGTTGTTGCTAATGCTATTATTAAAACCAGTTTTAGTATAGCATCGTAAAATCATTCGAATTCTAATGTAATGAGGGAGAGAAATCAATATATGATACAACGTTCTCTTTTAGATAATATAGTTTCCCTTTAATATATGATGTATTATGATTTCTAATTGGCAAATGTAATAATGATTTAAATAAGATTTGGATGGTTTAAATTAACAGAGATCGAATTTTCGTGGAAAAAAAAAGAAAGTTTTCTAAGAAAGTTGGAAAGGAGACGATTCACGCTATAAACATACGTTTGACATTCTATTGATCTCTACAAGTGAATTATTTTTTAAATTTGTAAATAAAACACGCCAAATTAAATACATATTAATTACTGTATTCGTCGACTTTACAAATAAAATGATTATCTTTTTGTTTTATCGAAAAGTCATGTGGACCTCCGATAATGATAGGATCATCTTTTTGAAATTCAAAATTGAAAAAAAAGAAATGCGCCACCATGATAAGTAGGAAAAAAACCCACCGAATTGTGAAGTCAGATTTATGTCGATCTAATCTTGTAATCTAATAAATTTCCCCCACATTAAGGATTGAACATATTATTGCTTAAACATATGTCCGCGCAGCAATACGCATAAATTTATTGGGTTCCTTGTCCGGTTTCACTAACCAAACTTGGGAATGACAGGCTCCACGAGATAAATTGCAAATCAGCCAAGGAGTGGGGGAATTTGTTGTACAATTCGGCGCAAAGGCGGAATTATTTCTCCCAAATGTGGCTCGTTTATGTGGTATAAATTTAAATTCTCGACGTTCGCTTTCCTAAGACAATCATTTTTTTTTCCCCTTCTCCTTTCGCTAATTCCTTCCTTTTTTTTTAAAAAAAAAAAATTCTGTCTTTTTGGTTTCCTTTTTAGAGGTTGAGTTTTTTTTTTTCATTCTAATATCTAAAAAAAGACTCAATTCAACTTATAATTGAAAAAAACAAATGAATCAGATAATAAAATGGGTCGACGCTTAAATGCATTGAAGGGATATTTGACTAGTTTATTTAAGGGCAAAGGAGTTGTTAACAATGACCAATTTACCATCACGAATTCATCGACTTCTCGACAACGAAAGAGCAACAAATTAAAACTTCCGTCAGATGTACTCATTGAAATATTTTCACACCTAGAAGATGATTACAAGACATTACAATCTTGCGTTTTAGTTGATAGAATCTGGTGTGAAAATTCGGTTCCTTCATTATGGTCTCAACCTTTTAAAGATTTAACACCATCGACCATAATAGATGTTTATTTAAATTGCCTCACGGAACTTGAAAAATCTTATCTTGTTGAAAATGACATTATTGGAATTTCTAATCGCAGACGAGTTCCGGTATTTGACTATGTCTCCTTTTTACGTCATCTTAGCATGGGAAGTCTTTATAGCATAGTTCAAAGATGGACAGATCGTACCCAAACAAAATATTCTGCCTCCCCGAAACGGTACTAAATAAGAGAATAAATAAATAAATCAATCAATAATCAAACTTTTGCTAATTCATCGATCATTACCATTAATTGAACTTCTTTTTCTTTTTCTAAAAAAAAAAAAAAATTGATATCTTGTATATGTAAATAATTAAATTTATACATATACATACACATTTCAATACATATTCGACATTTATTTAGACATAGTCCATTCAACACGGAACCTAGCTTGCTGGTATACCGAACTCTTTGTACATTATTTTTTAGCCGTCGGTCGAGCATTCGATCCCTCTCCCTTGATTGGGGTAATAAAGAAATCTGGAAAGCATATCCTCTGTTGCTTTATTCCGCCGGGATTGATACGTACCTTGCTCAATTGAGAAGATTGTCCATTCATTATATAACCGATTGGTCAATTTTTGGATATTTATCGAAATATGCAAAGAATATTGAAACTTTAGAGGTTGTAGATTACTCCTTTAATCAAGCTCCGCATCCCGAAGATGAGCAGAATTTAGCATCTTTAATTAGCATTCAAAATAATTTGAGACGTATTAAATTATTTGGATATTCTACTTATCCCGCTTTAACTCTCGCTTCACTTGGATCCCAAGCCAATCATCTAACCTCCGTTGAAATCATTTATGTTCACTTTAATAATTCAAATTATCCATCATCATCATCATCATCATCATCCACCACCTCCACCACCTCCTCATCAACGGGATCAATCTTGGAAGGGTTAGCGGCTTGTATAAATTTAGAAGAATTGGTAATCAAAAATTGCTCATTCGCAACGGATGAGATCCTCGCACCTTTGATGTGTGCAACTTTTCCATCACTCTGTAAAATACATATCGTAGAATCTACTTATAGTTGGGATAATGTGGTGGTTTCCTTAATACAAAACAATCCAACACATTTGGAAGAGGTCTATTATAAACCCGTTGATAATCAACAACATCATACCATATCACCTACAATCATTGAAGCGGTGGCTCACAATTGTCCAAAGATCATCAGGTTGGGAGTTCCGATTGCCAAGGTACAAATAAATCATTTGGTTGATATCTTAACCTCATCCGAGTGTAAATTAAAAAGTTTGAGCATATTCCGGATGGATCGTATCTCGTGGGATGACGAGGCTCTTTGGAGGGATTTGGGTGGTCTGATGCCCGTCACCCTACGTCACCTGAATATTTGGATATACATAGGTGATAATCCGATGCAATTATTTTTACAAAATACCACCGCCCCTCTTGAGACATTATACGTCCGCTGGTGGACTCATTATTTGGGTTATGATTGTCATCTGGTTGGTTCATATTTGAAAGATAAACCTGTAAAAATTTCGGAATTCTTGCGTCATGTTATCTAGTTTTTTATATTCTGTATTTTTATGTATTGTATTTTTTTCCCTTTATATCATCCTATTTTTGACGAAAATATTATACGTTATGCTTTTAAGTTATATATAGTAAACCCATTTTTTTGTACATTAGATGATTAATTAATTCATAGAATATTTAATAATATGAATAATATGATGGTTATATACAATAAATTAAAAAATTTTGTTATCTTTTTCTTTTTAATAGTAATGAGAGAGAATAAAGTTTGGGAGATGAGAAAAAAATTTTTTTCTTTCCTTCAGGCTTAATAAGGGATTTTTTTTTAAAAAAAAAAGATTGTCTGTGATAAAAAAAGGTTCATAAATATAAAGGGATTCTTTTATGTGAACTAATTTTAGGATGAAATATGCTTTGGATAAAAATAGTCCAACATGCTTTTTTTTTTAATTTCAGCCCATATGCATCTACCATAATAACGTTGTATACTACTTATCTATATATAATACTTTGATACTTTTACCTCATTTACAAGAGTCAATTTTCCTTTCTTCTGTGAACTTGCTTCTTTGCACAAGAATCGGCTCTTTTTTTTTTAACGTGACTGGAATTATTATTTTAAATAACCAAAGCAAAGTTTGAACTCATTATATTTAATGTAAATTATGTTAACCTTATTCTTGTGATATACTGGTAAATTATACCTTATGCTGGGTAACATGCTCCACCAAAAGCCGACGCGAGTTTTAGCAAGCGTTGTCGATAAAAAAAAAAAAAAATCTTTTTTTAAGAGACCTTTATAATCCTTTCTGAGGACTTAATAAAGTTAAAGCGCGTGCCATTATTGACAAATTTCCACAAGTGGGACGGTATCATTGAAAATTTAATATATCGTATAAAAGTTTGATAGGTTTTTAGAAGAAAGGTCGTCGGAAAGTGAATAAATAAGAACGTTATTGGTCTCTTTAAACCTATTCCATCATTACTGAAGAGGAAGTTTCCTTCTCTATATATACAACTTACAAGTTGGGATAAAAAAAATGAATAACGAATTCAGAATTATTCATTTTGAAATTTTGAAGTTGCTTATTATTGCGTTATTTGGTATTTTCTATCTTCAAAATCGGATGAACATTTTTTCCTCTCATGAAGAACACATCAAAAATTTCGTAAAATAACAAAGGAACCATTAAAGTTAAGAGAGCAGCATCCCCTTACTCTTAAAACAAAACAGCAATTTCACTTTTTGTAATAAAAACATCTTTGAAAAAGACCAATTCAAAGTTGAACGATATGTTTATTACCAAATCATGTTTTTCTTTTTTTTGAAAAAAGAAATCATTTTATTATATCATCTTACCAAACACGAAAAAAAAATTTCTTTGTACAACTTAGCCAGCTAAAGTTGTTTTTTTTTTTCCTTTCTTCCGATACAAGTAAAACAATAACTTAAATACACATGCATTATTCAATATATAACATATTTCTAAAAAAACAAAAAACCCACCAATTAGTCTATTTTTTAAGTCTATTATTTATCTCAATTAATTTTACGGGGTATGAGAATGGTTATGAGGAGCGTGAGTATTTTGAGGATTATGTGAGTTATAAAGAGGATGAGAATTATGGATAGTATGAGAATTATGAGAAATAGGTGAATGAGGAGGGAAATCATTATTCTGAGATAATAAGAGAGAAAACCTTCCACTTGCCCTTGTATTAAGATTATAACTTTGGTTTGTTCTAGCATTTAATTTAGGTATAACTTTAAATATTTCATACTCATCAACAGAGAATCTATCATGATTTGTGATCAAATGTCTTTCGTAAGATTGTCTTTTACAAGAACAACCTAACTCCAAATTAAAGTTAGCATGAGTTCCACCCATAACTAAATCCCCACTTCCAAAACATGGTCCGATCGCTTGAGAGCATAAAACCGCTCTTGAAGGTTCTTGAACTCTACTAAACATGATGTTCTTTAGATCTTCCCCATCCCCTAAGGAAAAAAGGAAACTATCTTTTGTATTTCCCCATTTATTCGTGGAATCCCAAGAAATTGGATTATACCCTCCGATTAACTGTCCGGTCCCATGAATTTTTAAGATTAAGATGGTCGGACCTTGCAAATCACACCTTGCGTGAAATGCGGCGGGAGAAAATCCATCTCGACTTCCCCTTACGAGCAACTTGAATTCGTAAGGGATACTCCCATATTCATAAGGGATACAAGTAGAATTATAAAATACATTTAAATCGTTTCTATCTATCCAACTCGAAATTAAGGCGACATGTTTCATTCTTAATAAATTTGATTCGAAACCTCCCCTTCTCGGTGGCATCAAAGAGGAAGGTCTCGGGCAATCGGGAACCATATGATACCTCATGATATCCTCATAAAGCATTTTAGGTAAGATGCTTTCATATGGCATGACTTTACTATAAAAATCTTTTGAGGAAATTTGAAATATTCTAATTAAAGGAATACATTGATGTATCGAGGATTGTAACGTTTTTATGTTCTCATCTGACCATTTGGAGATATGTTCCAAGGCCAAATCCGGTGTTTCGGTTAATGCGCACGTTTGAGCTATTCCCCATCTTATTAAGTAATCCCAAACTGCGATCTCATCGAGTTGTAAATCATCCCTTTGAAAAACTCTTAACAACACGGTTAAATTTACTGAAAGGTGATCTTCCGAATTGAATAACAGAGGGGGATCTTTACATATCCTATCCACACAATATTCTTGAAGCTTTTTTAATCTATCGTTTTGAAATACGGTTCGACGCACCAGATCGAAATTCTCTTGCATCCATTCCGCTTTGTATTCTATGAGATGTTGTTGAATGAATCCAAACAAGTCATGTAAAATCAATTCATCCGCTGCCATCAATATTCTGAGAATTTCTTTTCCATCTTGTTGGTCTAAAGCTATCTTACCCGTGTAAATATACCTTTTTTTTAAAATAAGGATAGATTAATTTATTAAATATATATATATATATATATATTACCCCAAGGGGAGAAAACATGTTAATTTCTTACTTGAGAACTACATCAAAAACTTCGCCAGAAATGTTTGGTTTTTTATATTCAATTATACCATCCTCTCGTGGGTTGACCCATTTTTCGGATAATGCCGTGCGAAAATAAGGACATCTGGCACGGAGAATACCGGAATGGGCTCGGAATGATTTTATCTTCGGTTCTTCGCCGACCTGAATAATAACATTATGGTCAATACCTTCCTCAAGAAGGTTACTTAAATCTGCTAACAAGATTGTTGTAAAATCAGTAGACATTGAGAAATATTAAGGGAAAGGAAAGGGGAAAAGGAGGAAAAAATGTAGACGATAAATACTTTGTTTTTAAAATAATTTAAATGTAAAAATAAGGAGGGAATTCTGTAACAAAAAAAAAAAAAAAAAAAACTATTAAAATGAATGATTAAATGAATGAACCATATGATCAAATAATTTTGGATATTTTCCGGTTGGAAGATGAAGTAAAAAAAGGTTTAAAAAAAAAATAATTTGGTTAAAACGCTAAACTAAATTTTTTATTTATAATACATTTTGAGATCGACAAACCGATCCTAAAAAAAAAAAAATTTTTTTTTTTTCCAAGGTTGTTTGGTTTCGGAAATTATATTTGACGCTCATATGCATTTTTATGCAGGAATTAATAAAACGATTGTAGTAATAATAATAATTATAATGAAAATTTATTGTTATTTATTATTTACGGAGCGGGACTCGATAATTGATTTTTTCCGATGTCTTTATATGTCCGCTTTCTGACTTATGCATTGGTTATTTGTTTTAAACCAGTTTTAACTCCACCTTTACACACTTTTATGCTTTCAAAACCTAAAATGGTTTTTTTTCCATTATAAATTGATAATAACGGTCAGAATGGTTGGTTAAATATGAAATGAAAAAAAAAAAAAAAATGCCAAGAGAATATGAAAATTTTATCAATTCTTTATCGAATTCTTTTTTTTTATTAAGAAACTTTTATCTTACACTAAATTAATAACCAAACATGGAAATGTCATTTCCATATATTGATATTTCAATAACAACAACAATAATAAAAAAATACTTTGTCACACGGGATGAATATTCATTACATTATGATTATTACAATAAACAAATATAAATATAAATTAAATTAAGATTACTCTTGTAAACCGTTTAACCACTTGATCATCGCCTCATAAATATAAAATGTAACAGCATTAACGGGCAATGCACGAATAAGCGTAGGCATAATTCCTCTAAAAAACACGGAAATTCCTTCAGCACGGTAAGATTTTATAGTACAATCAATAATACCATTGTAATAAGGTCTACGTTCACTCACAAGTGGTGCTAATTCTTCCGGATATTGGGTTAACATTGTTATCGAGCTTAGGTTAATTGATGATGATGGACGCTTTATTTGCGTTTGTAATCGGGATTTGATGACGTCTGTGACATGCGTTTGATTGTTAATACCTTTATATAACGCATATTTCAGCTTTTATGGCTTTTAACACGTACCTAACGGATAAATGCTACCCCAAGATATCATTCCGGCCATTCCACCAGCGAATAACAGCTTTGTGACATTTTCGCCAGAATTATCCATGGTTACTCCTAATACCCTTTTCAATCCTTCGTATGCCCTTATAAATCAGAATTGGAATATTTAATCCCTTTGAAACCTTTTTGCGTTAAAATTACATTTTTTCATTTATATCACATACCAAAAATAAACACCATATCCTGGCGCATCCCGGATAATTGTTATAAGCCCCCCTTGGTAGAATCCTAATGAATATATCAAGAAATTTATTTGATCAATAAAAAATAAAAATAAAAATATGAACTTTGGAAATAAAATTCTCACCTCTGATTCCTTTGGTGAAAAAGATGGATTTGAAGACATTCCAAGTGGAAGAATTAACAACAGCTTGAGTTCTGCATTTAACCAATTCGGTTGGAGTACTAGCTAAGAAACAAGCAATTCCAGCGCCGAATCCTGCAAAATAAACTTGAGACAATGTTGGAACAAATGGTGATTTACCATCATATTTTTCAAATGCTCTTATAATTCCTCCATAAGATGCAAATAAAATTGAATTCAATAATGCCAACCCTATGATCGGTGATTCTACCCCTTTCAATAATGACTTCATCTACAAAAAGAAAAAAAAGCGAGGAAGCCGTTTTTTTTAAACTGTAGAATAAAGTTTTTTTTTTTTTATAATATTTCATAAATAAAATATTTACGCCTTCATTCTTTTTCATTTCTATCAAGGTTCTGATGGATGACGTCGGTAAACCTTCGGATGAAGTGGGCGCAGTTCGTTGTTGCGTTTGGAGCCGTACTTTTAGAACATCTAAAGGGCTTCCCACAAGCAAACCTGCCACACCACTAATATATCCTATATAAATTGTATCATATTTATTTATTATCTCGACTTTTAGAATATACTTTTTTGTTGATATGTTCAACTTACCTGCCAAGAAATCATTAAAGCTTTCGGCTAATAAAAAAAAAATTCTTCGGTTAAATTATTAAATTATAAAAAAAAATATATATAAATATATAATTTACCCATTTTATTAAAGTTTGTTTTTTTAAAAAAAAAAATAACAAGTTTAAAGACAAAGGTTACCTGTAAAAAAGAATTTTTTATTTATAGATTTTTTGTTACATATATGTGACTTTTCAAAATTTTTAAATGGAACTTTCTAGTCGCTTTTGACTTTATGAAATAAAGCTCGGTATATTTTATCGATACATATTTTTTTTGACAAATAACAGCTCTTGCTGTTTCCAGATCTTTTCAGATCTTTCTTATGATATGGCTAAACCCGAAATAGAAAGTTTGCTCCGGTTAAATGAATGACATGTCGCATGTCGATCATAGCAAATGACATTGATATATCATTTGATCAAAATCGAACAGTTGTTACATCAAAATGTTCGTTGACTTCTCGCGAAATTTTTTATAAACTTTTAAAAGCGAACGGTTCAGCCAGTTTAAGAAGATCTTATTGGAAAAATCATCTATTATTTGATATATTTATTATATGAATAATCGAAACTTTTTTAGTTATAAAACAAACCACTTAAAAATATATTTAAAAATATTATTTGATTATTTCCTACAATAAATATATAAATTTTATTATTCTTTATATTAAAAATTAGAGATAATTCAAGAATAACTTAAATTTACCCTTAATAAAACTTGTCAACTCTTTTTTAATTTTTATACTAAAAAATCAATTTTTTGCATTTTATACAAAAACTATTTAACTTTATAACCTAAGAAATTATTTTTTCTCATGTAAAATTATATTTATTTTAACTGTCAAAATTATACTTTCTTTTCAACTTTTAAGAAGATCTCAAAAAAGTAGCTTTTTAGGACGAAACTTCATGTAATTGCAAAAAAAAAAATAATTTTTAAAAGTTGTGAATTATTAAAATAAATGAATAGATCTTAAAAGGTTTAACGGCCAATTACTGTTACACAAACAAATTTTAATTATAAAATTGATCTGCATGCGACATGATAAAGAATCTTCACGCTTATCACCTGATATGTAAAAAGTAGTGATGTCATGATGTCAGATCTCATATATATATAGCACGCGATTATAATTTTTTTGTGGCTTGGCGCGTATATTTTCTTAACGTTATCTGTTATCACGTATTAATTTTCGCCAGACATACGTAAAAAGTAAAATGCAATTATTGCCCGAATGTTTCGATGCTCTTAGATACCGTGGTAAGGCAAATGCAGGAATGATCTTTTTTTGACAGTCTTTATAGCTTAACCTGTCATTTGTGAAAATATATAGCTTTTTGGGAACAATCGGAGAAAAATTCACTTAAGAAATTCTTGGATTTCCGTTTACAAGAAGTGTCGGCGGACTACCTTGTGGGTTGCATGCTCACAGGGGAAAGGTTGTCCATCGGTCGTGTTTATAGAGTTTTGTCAAATTTTCTTTACATGCGAGACGATTATTAATTATCATTTATTTAATCTTTGTAAGGACGAAAAGAATTCAAAGGAAGTAAATATTTTTTGGGATCTGCAGGCTAAACAACAGAACAAGTAAGTTTTTTTCGAATGAGTGGCTTTTGCTCTTTCTACACTTTCTATACCTTCTAACATCAATTGTTTAAATGAATGACGAACTGAAGGACCGGATTTGTTTCGAACAGGTTAGTATATTACCTCTTTACGCCTAATCTTGTGGTTATAATACCTGAAAGTTCATTCCATTTTAGACCCGACATGTTTTGGATGCGTCGATATAGACCCGGAATCAGTGTCTTTCTGTACAAAAAACGTTCACCAGTGAGCGTACCTATAAGGTAATGATTAATTCTTCAATGTTGATTAATTTGCATAACTTTTTTTTTGATTTGATATATTGTCTTAAAAACTTTGCGTGAATTTATCTGATATACTGTCATAATTAAAAGCTACGTCAAACTAGACACGGAAGAAATATCCCAAATTATTGCGAAACTGATGAACCAGAATATGAACCCAAGAGGATAAGGAGAGAAAGTAATACCCGTTATTCAGAGGTGACAGAACCTCAGCAATCTGCCACACCGTATTTAACACCGCCGATGACGGAGGTCGCTGAATCTTCAAGCTCAAATTCATATTTAGGGAATTTAGACGGATCTAAGGTATCGTAATTTTTTTTTACCAGAATATACATATAAATTATCCAATTCTAACCTACTTGAAATCTATCAAGAATAAAAATTCAAGATCACAATATGTCCGTGATGAACCTAGTTTCGTGAAAGCACGCCATGTCCAAGTCCAACTCGTTCCGCCACACATACTTTAATAAAGACGCCTAATAAACCAATTATTACGAGGGCTACTTATGAGTAATATTCTTCTGCACGTATAATATGTGCTTTCAATTCAACGATTCATTTTGTCAAGGCAACCATTGAAGAACAAGTGTATGAGAAAATTATAAGCATGCTTCAGCCGGGAAACAAATCGGTTATAAATGATTCGATAGTCAAAAAGCTTGAAAACATATTTCAAGCAAGTTATTTCGAAATCGAATCTCGCAGTGCTTTTCCTGATGTCAAGTACATGTGGTTAGAAAAAGATGTAAGATCCATAAAAGAGGCGAACATCATGTTTACGAATAATTTTGGTGAACGAAAAACGGATTTACTCATTCTCAGATTGTCAGATGCAAGAGAGTTTTTGAATGTCGAAGTGTCTGGGCCTCCCTATAATCTACGAAAAAACACACGGTTGGCGATGCAAAAAAACTATTAATTATGGCTATCTGCAGTTTATGTCGACAATAACCTTGATTGTAACATTGAAGACGTCAAAAATGTTAAAACTTACAGCATTCAAGTTATAGGAGGTCGACTTACATTGTTTGCTGTTTCTCTAACAGACAAAAGGAAATATTTGGCTGTTGAATTGGCCTCTTACATAGTTTCATTTGCATTTGACGCCATCACATGAGGATTTTTAATTTTTTTGCAGTTATTCGAAATGAGTTCGTGGAACAAGGAAAATTACAAAAGAAAATTCGTTCCTTTATTCCAGATAACAATTGTTCTGAAAATTTAAGAGAATGGTTACATATACCGGATGATGATATTTCACTTTTTACAGAAGAAGATATGGATGAAATATTACTTTGACATAAGATGAACATTGCAAACTAAAGATGAGGGATGAAACTCAAAAAAAGGCAATTAATAAACAGCCGAAATTATATTAAAACATAGTGAGGGGTACGACGAAACCCCGAAACCCGAAATTAGCCGAAACTATATTAAAAACATAGTAAGGGATATGACGAAATTATTTTGAGGGAGTTTCGGCTGGCATCTTTATTGCAAACACTTGCAAATGCTCTTTGATAAATTAAAAACTGCAAATCTAGCATTGAATAAAGAGAAATGTGAAATGTTCAAAAGAGAATTATGATTTCTAGGACACAAAATCAATGAATATGAAATCCAACCCGATTCTTAAAAGATAGAGAAAGTACAAAACTTTCCTGTTCCTAAAAATGTGAGACAAGTTAAAGGATTTTTGGGATTAGCATCATACTATCGCAAATTTATTAAAGATTTTTCTAAGATTGCGAAACCATTAAACAATCTTACAAAGAAAGGAGTTGACTATAACTAGAGTAAGAAATGTAAAGATTCTTTTGAAACCTTGAAAGAAAAGTTAACACAAGTCCTAATACTTGGATATCCAGACTTCAATAAAATGTTCTATTTATTTACTGATACCTTTGAAACTGGACTTAGAGTGGTATTTGCACAAAAAGATGATTAAGAAAAAGAAAAAGTAATTGCTTATGCAAGTAGAACCTTGAATGAACATAAACAAAATTATAGCACACAAGAGTTAGAATGCCTGGCGATTATTTGGGCAGTTGAAAAATTTTATCACTTCACTTTACTTAAACCTTTTATTTTAGTAACGGACAACGCTGCTTTAAAATGATTACAAACTTCTACTGTAAAAAATAGAATGAAAAGAGCAAGATGGTTGTTGAATTTACAGCAATATACATTTCAATTATACTCAACCTTTGGGAAAAACCAATTCTGAAGAATTAATCTTCATAATAAATGAAGTTTATCAAGAGAACACTGAAGTGGAACTCGTTAAAAGTGAAATTTCTAAAAAACTTATTAGAAAATAAAAACGCAAAAGGAGTATGCTTAAGAACTTGGAATTACTCCATCGGCTTTATCCAAACGTATTAAAAGAAGAAAGAAAGAAAGAAGAGGAAATGTAATAGTATAAAATTTTGGCTAAAATCTGATTACAAATCCAATGTCAATTAAATGTTCTTGTTTATCATTTCGTCGTTCCTGATATCAACTTTATGTTCTGAGATAATCAATGTTAAACATTATAGATCCAGATGTTGAAGGCGTGATCTATGCTGCGCCGATCAACTACAACCAATCATGTGATTTGAAATGTTTGGCCGATCTGACCGATA